GAGCTCGGCAAGGAGAAGAAGACGAGGACGACGAAGAGGCAGAGCCAGAAGGAGAGGCCCAGGGAAACGGAAACACAAAAGCAAAACCCAAAGGCAGGCCGCGCCTCGCCGCAGCGCAGCGCGAAGGGAAGCAGAAGAAAAAGCGAAGGCGGTGGCTTCGTTTCCCGCTCGCTTGGTGACCAGCTCCGCCTATCTAGTCACTCAGGCGCTGCCTGGGTCTCCGTCTCACTGCATGTCTGTGCGTCTAGTCTGCGCTGGCCTTTTCTTCGTGCAGGCAATAGTAGAGAACGACCCGGCCAGCCTAGCTCTGGCGTGGTCTCGCTCTCAGTCAGATTCTGGGGCGTGGCTTAGTCTTAGCGATCGCGATGGGGATCAGCATCAATCCAAATCAGAGCAGGAGCCAGACCGGGGCTGGAGAAGTGCCAGAGCCAGGCATCGCATTAGACTAGTAGCGAAGTAAGCTCTCATCTTACTAAGTTAGTACGCGTATAGAATCGGAAGCAAATAGCTCACGCTGGCCCCATTCAGCGCACCGATTCACCATCCATCCCCCACGCTTCTACTTCCAGCATTTGGGCGAGTGCTCTTCTATACTTATGCAATGCTGCTACTATAGGAAAGGGATCGAAGTCAAGCCCAGTCTGAGGCCAGACGAGTAGCAATATCGTAGGCCCTCTCTACAACGCAAGGCGCTGCCATTGTATTGCTTGCACTTGCAGCGCATCCGAATCAGATCAGACCGCACCGGACTCATACACAAGAGAAGACACAACAACGAACAAGGACAGCAGTACTCACATACAGCGGCGCACCATGCTGAACCAGTGGCCCCGTGTGGTGTCATGGTCGTCGCGTCGTCATCGTCTCGCGCCGCTTAAGTTCAAGCAAGAGAAAAGGTAGCAGCGCTCTACTTACTTGAGTAGCAGAGTACTGCTATGGGTATCGGTGACCAACGGGAATAGCTCGCGTTATGCGTGACGTCGGGCACTTTCTCGAGACTTGTGCCACGTTCTTCTAGTGCTTGTCTCTCCTCTCGCCTTCTACCATCGTCTCCCCTTCACCAACTTGCTCCGTCTTGATCTTCATCATGAACGCACGAGAAGAGGAGAGCCCGGGCCCATTTTCTCAGCGCTTTCCCATTCTTTTTCATTTCTGTTCACCAAGCCGGCCGTCTGGCGCGCCTCCATTGTTCTCGAGGAAGCATAACGTCCCGCGTTCCTCCTCGAAGGACTTTCATCAAGGCACGCCATGAGTTGAGGCGACGCGCTCTCTACTCTGCTAGCGCATGGAGTGGACTTGGATAGCTTTGCCGCTTTAAGAGAGAGCTGCTGGCTGCTCTCTAGGACGGGGCCGGGGCTGGTCTGGTCTGAGCTGATGCCTCTCTTCAGCAACGAAATACACTACCAAACCACACCAAGCGAAGCCGTAAGGCTGTCAAACAAGCGAAGGCGCCTTGCCTAGCCTAGAAGGCAAGGGCTTCCCCATTCCTGGCGACCAATGAGGGCGGTAACCTAACGGCGCACAAGAGAGGAGGGGAGCCGGGTAGCCACTTCGAAAAGCGCCACGAAATCACGCGCACCAGATGGACCCAACAAGCCGGCGCTTGCCCTGCGTCTGCCGCCATTCGATGGGCAGAGAGCGGCGGCGAGAAACCTCCAAAGGAGGGCGCTACCAATACCACACACAACGCCCGCCGCCCGCGTGCAGGTGCCAAGCTTCGCCTTTCTTATAGTGCTTGCAATGCAGACAAGCCGGCAGACAAAAAACGACACCCCAACCCAGAGCCAACACTGCAAGGCGGCTGCCTCATTCTCCGGGAGCGCCCGGCCCCGCCGCCCCCGGAGGCGGGGCGCTAGCGGGGGGGGCCACAAGGGGAGAGGAGCACGCGCGCACGGCGGGCGGGTTTGCCCCACCAAAGAATGCCCACAGCCCCCGCCCAAGAGCCCGGCAGAAAAAACCAAAAGCGCCGCAAGCACAAAAGTCTACCCCGAACCGCCTCGAAATGGGCCCGCCCTTCAAAAATGCGCGGATTTTTTTTCATTTTTTAGCTTGCACTCACAAGCACAAGCCCAACAAAACAAATCCAAAGAGAGTCAGAAACCCAACCCCCGCGGGCCGGTCAGCCCTCTCAAGTCAACCCCTGCGAGCCTCCGCCTCTTCCAAACCAGGCACAGCCAACACGTCCCACCCAGCTCAGACAAGACAGAAAACCAACCCACAACACCAGAGAACTAGCCGCCGCACCTCACCCGCCGAATCCTCCTGGGCTTCAAACTGACAAGAAAAAGCCGCAAGACTTTTGCTCTTTTTTCTACTTAAGAAAAAAGCGCGAGACTTTTCCCGGGATATTTTTCTTGAAAAAAAAGGCAAAAAAATGCGCGACATTCTGGCAAAAAAACTGCAAAAAACCAAAAAATTTCAAAAGCTTGGAAATCCTTAAGCATAGCCTAATTATTAGCTCCTCACTCTTTCACAGATCGCACCTTTACCACAACAACACACACTGTCACAAGTTTAGCTCGATCTATGATCGGTGACTCAACGCACTCTCAAGGTCCTACCTAGTTACAGCGGCTTCCAAGACAGACAGGATCACACACAAGGCAATTCTACAAAACTGACGCCCTAGCCGAGATGTGTTCATGTCTGTCGTATACCGAAGGCGCCAAACAGATTTTTTGGCTCACAACGTGAACACAGAGCGTCACTCTCGCGTACTGGATTGGTCGGCAACCTCGCATGTTATTATCAGAGGAGGGTAGTCTACAGATGCCAGACGTCTTGGTCTTGAGATGATGAGTGGATTTCAATACCTTCTAAGCAGAAGTTCATCAGTAGTTTTGGCATATAGAATTTGCACGACTGCCAAGTGTGGAAGTCTGAAGTATACGCATCGAACATATGACGCGATGCTGGTCTAGACCACCCGAAGTGATCTGCGACGCGCATCATATTTACGTGTGGAATCGAGGTGGTTGTTGCAAACCCAGCCCTGCTGAGAGTTGCACGAATAGCCATAGCTGCGGACCTTCGAAATCCGTGCGGTGTAGTCCCAAGCTTCCGGGCAAGCTTTCGGAGCTTGTTTTCAGTCAGCGACTCAACTTCCTTCACTACCAGAGAAGATGGAACGACTACACCAAAGAGATCATCAGGGTCTGGTGCAAACTTAACGAACGGGACCGGGACAGCGGTCCACTGCTGCATCCCAGGGAGCGGAAACATCGTGTCCGGTAGCAGGGACGCGATGGATGAGATTCGTAGTGCTGACGCAAGCCAGAATTTAGCAACGTCGCGCTCGCGTGGTGGAAGAGCGAGAATTTTTGAGGCGGGGAGAGGGATCGCCTTACGTCTGTCGAATTCGGGCTTGATGTGGTTAAGCGCAAAGTACATCGTAGACTGGGTTTTTAAGACCAAAGGCGGACGCCTTTTCTAAGACGCCAATTGCGCGTAGACGTTGTGACACTATACAAAGGTAATCGACGTAGCACTTGTCAAGCTCGTTGTCAAGTAGGTACTTGCCAAAGAGGAAAAGTTCGTATAAGTAGGTCATGTCTGGTATGGTCGTATCATACGGTGACCTACACGTAGGTGGAACTGCGATCTTCCTTTCAGGGAAGCGGAGGGTGAACCAGTGCGCGAAGCATGCCCAGGCTGATCGCCTGTTATTAGCCGATGACTGCGGGAGTGCTGTTTCCATAGGCCATAGCAGCAGCTCTTGTTCTCTGGACAGAGCATCAGCATGCTGGCGGGGAAGGTTCCGCGCTCTTGCGTTTTGAGAGCGTATCATGGTCCGCAGCGATGAGGATCATTTATTTGAGGGGTGACTATAATGAGTGGCTCTCAAACAGCATGAAGTTCTCTTCTTCTCAATGAGATGTCCTGCCTGGTCAAAGAGCTGCTGTAGCACGTTGCTGAAGTTAGGGATGATCTCGCTAATGTCTCTACTAGAGGTTTTTTCCAGGAAGGATGCAAAAAGTTCTGGCCTAGTCAATGCATCTGCGCTATTTCTTGCTGATTTGACGTAGGAGATTCTTGGCATGGAGTTAATCTGCTGGCACTGAGAGACAAAGTCGTTTGCAAAAGTGGCGCCTTCAAGGCACTTTGGCATGCCTTTTGTGACGCTGTACGCAGCGCCTGCGTTATCAATGTGTATAATCCCCATAGAGTCCCTCACGAAGTCACTAAAGATTTGAAGCGCAAGCCAAACTGTAAATGTCTCATAGAAGTAAGTCTTTCGGTCTCTCAGCTGTTCTGGTTTTAGCTGTTTCGCGCCCTTCTTCATTTCTCTGTGCACTGAGAAGTGATATGTTCCCTGTGATGAGAAGATGACTGCCCCACGCCACATCGTGGCGCCCTCCAGCGAGGCACCAGTGAGTATTTCTGTCTGTTCACTGATAGCAATTTTACGCGAGATTTCCCATTGGGCGTTCTCTTCGATGACGTTTTTGGTCGTATCTAGGCAAAGTATCACTGTTTTAGCCAGGCGATCAGATTTATGAAGATTTGTAATTTGCAGAGGTGTGGCGAAACGGTAGAGCAACCTGATCTGGGGTCCACAGTTTGCAGACCGGCGATAGTATAGCTGGTAGTTCAGGGCCCCCAAAAGTTTTTGCATATTCTTTATAGTGGTAGGCTTTTTCTTGATCATACTAATCGAGCTTTCAATTTGCTCGGTAGCTTCCAATACTTTAGGTTCTGGCATCTGAGTTGTTACTTTTGCATTATGAACGTCAGGGCGGAATACTATTCCTAAGACTTCTACATCTTTACTGGGTTCACCAACGTGGTCCTTCGGGTCACTTTGAACAAGGCCTAGAAGGGCAAGCAGCCGCTTCAGGGCCTTGTGGTACATGGTTGCATACTCTTTGCGCGAAAAAGTAATAATGTCGTCTACGTAGCAGACCACTGGGACACCAAGGCGCACCCTGGCCACATGTTCGATAAGTCTACTAATACCACCGCAGAAATTAAATACACTGCGCATGTTTCCGAAAGTCATAGCCGGGGACGTACAATACTTAATGGATGCTGCTTCTGTGTCCCAATACGAAAGAAGATACTCACTTTCTAAATACTTGTGCGCAAACTGGAAATACGCAGAGTGGAGATCTACCTTCCCGAGTACTGGCGTAAAGAAACCAGGGTAGATCTGCTGGTGGCGTAATGCCATGACTGATAAACGGTTGGTCTTGCCACGCCGATGTTTGCTGTCGTTCCATCTCGAGTTGGTCCGTTAGGTGCTGCTTCAGCCACAGGGCTGGCGACACTCTATCGGGGTGGAGGCACATGTGGATGACCTCAAGAATAGTTGGGATATGTGGCAGGACAGGGCGCTCCTGCAGGGCCGAGGCCCTGCAGTTAGCGGCCTTTTCGTTGGCTATTGTGCGAATCTTGGCCCATGTGCCAACCTTCTCGGAAAATTTTTGGCCTAAGGAGAAGAGAGGTATGAGTTTCTTTACCCGGGTCACTGTAGTGATAGTTTCTCCATCCACTTCTTTATCTTGTGATACAAAAAGAAGACCATCGCGAAGTTCTCTCTCTCCATCATGAATTGGTTGTAGTATAGATGCTGCAGGCGGCATGCACTGCTTAATCACGTCAAACCCCCTAGTCAGCTCTTCTTCTGTATGGCGTATGGCGCCGATCTAGGTGGAGGAAGTCTATCAAGTTCATACTGTATACTCTCTCTTGACTTAAGACATGCAAAGAGGCGATCTCTCTCTTCTTGTGATAAGTACTTACCCTCACGCCACAGATTATATCTATAAACTGGCCCGTCCGACAGGAGCCCTGTGTTTACAAACCCACTTGGCCCATATAAATCATCCCTCAGTTCATCAGTCCCAAAGCCAGAGGCTGACGCAGCAGCGTGGAAGACCGTAGAGGATTTGCGGCAGGTACGGACTTTTTTCGTCGCATGGTGGTTCTCGAAGTAGTCGCTGAGGTTGCGCACGTTCGAGGGCTGGTGTTTCATTTCCATCGCGACCATCTCGATGCACTTATCCTGGCACGTGACTCGTGACGCAATGTCGTCAAGCGCCATCTCCAGTCTGCGCTGCTCTTCTTCGACGTGCTGTATGGAGTGGGACAATGTGATATGAGGTTGTATCCTGTTTACTAGCAAGGTGCTGAGTGACTGTTATGCGGATAGTTGCTCACCTACGGCGGTTCGCTTTTGCGACCTTTGCCGAATACGGCCACAGGTTCTCATCATAGGTTTGGGACGGTTCGCTTTTGCGACCTTGCCCTTGGCTTCGCTGGAGCCTTACACACTTCTACTTACCTCGTCTGCTATTCCCAGGCGTGCATGTGCTTTGACTGCATCTGCCATGCCGGTCATGGAGTGCACCGCGACATCGTCGTCCTTGTTGCTTCTCGATGCAACGTCAGAGAGGTTCTTCGTCCTGCTGTCAGACACAGGTCTGGGGGTTGAGAGGAAAAAACGGTGACTATTGCTGTTGACGTTTCTGTGTGTATGTTTTTTAATCACTTGACTCAGTAGCCTCACGCGTCTGCTATGGTATGACTATCGACTTAGGTATAGTTGATTATTGGTATTGTCTCATGCTGTTGCTGTCTCTCGGCTCTCACCGGCTACTCACACTCCTGCAGGATAACCACCAGCATGCTATGACTTCTTCACAGCATTCTGATGCTGTTGACTTACGTCCTCACTTGGACGCTTTTTGCACTTCGTCGATATTGACGCAGTACATCATATTTTGAGATTGATTAAGAACAGTAGAATCATGATAAATGGTCATTGATGTGGGTCTATTTGTCAAGGAATTAAGGTAAGAACTTGCTTTCAGCTATTTGCTGCCACAGATGCTATGATAAGACGCTGAGCTGCATCCTGCGGTGTGTGCTCAGCACCTGGGTACAGCTGACTTCAGTCGGCCAGGTGGGCCTTATCTCCTTCTTCTACGGCGGTGAGATGCACTTTGTATGCGTGCGCTTGGCTCTACTTGCTCCCCTTGCCTTTGCCTGTGCCGGCGCCACCTGCTGCAGGGGCAGCTCCAGAACCTGCGTTTTTGATGATCTCGTCGCAAATGGCCTCGGTGTGGGGATGTCTGTCACAACTGTTGTATGTACAACGTGGCGTGTGCGTATTCCCCGACGAGAATCTAACCGCTGCATCGAACCTCTTTCCAGCAAGCATAGTGCAGACTGCTGGGTCACGGATCTTTTCTGCAGCTGCTGGCCCATATTTGGACCTGACGACGTCTAAGATCTGGCTCTCAAGTTCGATGAACTTTTGCTTCCTCGCGGTAGGTCTGGCTTCATCTTGACCGGCCCAGTCATCGTTTCGACGATCTTCACTCCACGTCCACGATGACCATGACTGCGAGTTGTTCGACTTCTTGCCTTTGTGCTGGCCCTTCTTGCCATCACCTTTCTTTCCGTTTTTCTTGTGTTTGTCCATTCCTTTCTTCACGCCTTTCGTTGCTGCCCTATCAGCATTCTTCTTTGTCCAGTCCATAGGAACTAGCGCACGGAGTCCGGTGACAGCGCGCACCACTGCTCGCTGAGTCGATTCTCTGGATAGGTCGTTGTGGATGAGCTCAGCTACGAATGAGACGAGGGCAGATGGTACTGCATACTGCAGGAAGTCCGGCATGCTCGGTGCTTTGATAATTTCGTCCTTAAGAAGCATCATGCTGCTGGCTTGGTCAGTGCATATGTTTCCGGCGAAGAGCATCACCATGACGATGCTGATACCGCTACACTTGGTTGTAGTCTTGGCGTGGGATGGCGTTGAGAAATCGGCGAGAGAGTGCCGAAACTGTGAGATAGCGGATATGATGCTTCTCGCGGCATCGGGCACAATTGTCATGCTATCGGATTGGAGGCCAAAGAAGCCAGGTGGCAACAGGTGGCTCATGAGCGTGCTGCTCGCTCCTAACATTTCGAGCATCGTTCTCATGGCTTTGCGAACCGCAATTCCTCCGCCAGGCATGTAGAGCATCTCTTTCGTGATGTCATCGATCTTGCAGTTTAGCAAGTCGGCGGCTACCACGCGGTTGAGGCTGAGGATCGTATGAGCATCGACAAATGAGTAGTAGACGTCAGCGCCCTCATTCCACTTGGACTCGGTGATGGCGATTGCTTGTTCATCGAATGCAAGCTTGAAAGCTGCAAATTCGGACACCGCTTCGGACGGCATCTCTAGGCCGTGGTCGCCAAGGTCCTCAAGGTTGGCAGTGAGGTACCTCTTGACTTTCCGAAAGGCTATTGGATTCAGGATTCTGTCAGAATAGCCAAGGTTATTCGGTACAGCTGCGCACATGTGGAGGTGCGCTAGCGGGAGCTCGGCTTCAGCAGTATGTTGGCAAATCCCTGCGTCGAAGTTGGGCCCAATCGGATCCTCGATAATTGGGTATCCTCTCGGCGGCGGCCTGCTCACCTTCATGCCGACTGACAGCGCTCTACCGTGTGCTGTAGCTTTGTCGTATTCAGCGGCTCCCATAGCAGGCGCACCGGGCGTGCTTTGGTTGTGAATTTGCGCTAACAGGGAGCTCAGCCACGACATCTGGGCGTTCTCCTGAGACGCATATTGGTATGCTGGGTTGAGCGAGGTGCTGAGTGCAGCTGCAACATTTGGCGGAGGATGTGAGTTGACACGAGCATCCTGAGGCGACGTGGCTGCCACTTGTGTCTGCGCGATGCCTGCTTTACCTGCTGCGATGGCATTCGCAAGGCCTTTCGCTCCCGTTGGGCTTTGGAACTGCCCACACTTGGCTCGATGCGCGGACTTCGTCTGTTGATGTGCAGCTTTCCCTTTACCATTCGTAGGAGGGGCACACTTGTGTCTGCTGGCTGCTGCGTCTTGCACTAGGGCTGGCTGACCTGCTGTCGTCGCAGGCAGGGGCGAGGCCGTGACTTCGTGTGTTATTGATGACGCACTCGGCGACGAGAGTGATTGGATTGGTTGTCCGGCGTCACCCAATCTGCGTTGAAGGTCAGCCTGTCTTGCTGCTACGGCTACTGCTTTGGCTGCTGCCTTTTCTTGAAACCTGTTAACTTCTACAAGGTCGTCTCCTGAAACTTCTCCATTGGCTAGCGCCTGTTCGAGACACGCATCAACATCAAAGGTTCCATCTGGTTGGTGCACTTGAGGGCCGCTAGTGTCCGCGAAGGGTGACGAGGCCACTGGTGCCGCGTCTCCGGTATTACATTGCTCGACTGCGCTGTTCTTCACTGGCTTAGCGTTCGTCTCATCTCTGACTGGAAGCCATGTTGACTCGTCCATGTGATACTCGGCAAGCACGTCACTCATCTCAACTTCACCAGGTTGTTTGTGGTATGGCGCGACTCCTTCGCCAGTTGCTTCTGACATTGCCAGGGATGACAGCGAGATGCCCGACAATCGGGTCTTCAGGGCTGCGCTGCACATGGCAGACCGTTGCCGCTTTACTTGCGATAGTAGGCAGCGCGTGGACGTGTAGTCGTTCGTCATCTTGCCGTTGGTGTTGAATACGGTTGCACACCACGCTGCGAGGTCGTAGATCGCTGATAGGACTTCTGCCGAAGGACCCCTACGTGACTCAATCAATGCCCTGCTTTTCTCGGATCAGAGGTAGCGATCCATCAAAGATTTGGATTATCTGCTTCGGGGTGATGTCATGGACGAAGTGAGCGGCGAGGATCCCTACGCGACACCTGTAGAGAGGTTTTTTGGGGCATAATAGATTTTGAGTCTATGTTAACTTACTAGACATGTTTCAGCGAGTTCTGCTAGCTCAAGTTCTGCTAGCTCAAGTAGCACTTGTTTGCTAGCTCACTCCGGTGATTTGTAGATAGGAGGGCTGAGGCTGTGCCTGATGATCTGCTTTTGCACGTCAGCAGGCATTAGGCTGAACAGGAGCCAGGGTTCTTCTCTCGAGTTTTTTGCCATCGCCTTGTCATCATCTTGGTTGTAGTGCAGCAGGAGCTGGCACAGCGCTGGTTCGTAGACCTTTCCAGTGAGGAGATAGTGCGTTATTCCTGGGCTCTCCGCTTCTGTCGATTGTAGAGCTGCTATAAGCTCCCTTCCGTTCTTAAACTCCATAGCTAGGGGGACATTGCTTTCTGTATCTCGCCTGATCGCCACTTCCTCCTGGTCGAGGAACTCACCTAGGAGATAGCGTATGAGCATTGCTCTGGGCTGTTTGTTCGCAAATTTGCACAGCTCAGATGGCTTGTTGCCGTGCGTTCGTACCGGGAACAACTCCTTGACTGCTTCCGTGTTGTCACGGACCGCTTCTGCTATTTCGTACAGGTATAAAAGCACTCTCGAGAAGCTGCACCCCGAAGGGCATACCCACTCGAGATACTCTGGGTGATCGCGAAAGAAGGACTGCAGCTCATCGTAGTCGTTGGCGATCTCTTTCGCTCTAACGTGGTCCTTGATGGTAACCGCTTTAACTTTTGGATATGCGAGGAACGTGTGCATCGGCGGCACCTCAGCCATCAGTCTAGCCGCAGAGGCTTCTGCAGCCGTCGTCCTATTCTCGGTTTTCGGCCTCTTCATGGTTGGTTGGCCATTCGTAGACGAAGGCACCGCTGACAATCGCTCTTCGCCGCTGGTTTCTGCATCTCCCGCTTGGTCGAGTAGAGGGTGTTGACGCTCACTGCTGTTAACCCGCTTTCGGCTGCCTGCGCTATCTGTTTCGGGCACACATTGTTGATGATCATTCGTCTGCGAAGAGCCGCTCGCACCTGGTCCGCTCGCACTTACGAAACTTGCCTCTTCTTCTGAGATTTTGATTGGTGGAGGAGGATTTTCACTTTGGTCAAGTTGCTCAACCTTCACTATAGCAGAGATAACCTTCCTTCTGCCTTGATCACCAGCTTGGATTTGGTTCGTGCAGCTACTACGTGGCTCTTCGGCAGCGACTGGTCCAGTGATGCCACTTGCTTTGGCTTCGCTCGCGCCCGTCGATGCCGCTACAGATTTCATCGCTGCGCTGTAGGAGAAAGGCTTCTTCGATGGCGGTGCTTTATTTTGAGTCGCAGTTGGTGCCGGTGCTGTGGGTGCACACGAGCGAGATTGACGCTGTTGGAGCTGTGCCTGTGAGGCTCCAGAAGCGGATGATAACGATGACGCAGGCTGGATTTGCGTGCCGGACAGTGCTGTGGCTTGGCTGCTGGCGGAGGTTGCTTGTGCTAGGCATAGCTGCACACCTGCTTTAGGAGCCGACGTTTTCGCCTTTGCTGCAGCCGCAATTGACACGGATCGCGATCTGGATCTCGACGACGGCAGTTCAGTACGGCCAGACTGAGCCGGTGGCGCTTTAGGAGGCATCTTCTCGTCTTTAGATTCTCAACGAATGTTTTACTTAGGTCCTTCCTTCTTCATTTGACTTGATAAACGTGATATCTCGACTTAGGATGCTTTCGGGACAATATTGCATAGGTGTTTATGATAGATTTCCTTTTACTTTTTGCGTTTTATTGCCTGTCTTATCGCTCAGTTCTCTCTTTGCGGGCTGTGTCGCCTCTGCTCCTTCAACTTCTTCAAGAGATGCCCACGCTTTCTTCGCAGCATACTCGCACAGTATGGTCTATAATAGCTGCTGCGTCAGTGGTTATTATTGACGTGCATTGTTCTGGTTATACAAGCGACAGTGCTTCAGCAGTCAATATTTTGTATGAGCATGTTCTTTCGTGCACAGTATTTATGCTTCGTGAGTTTTAGCTCATCTTCATTCTTCCATTGCTAGCTCATCGCCACGTGATTCATTATTCCCTTGGCGAAGTGCCCTGTACCCTAGAGCCATGATACGCGCATGGACTCTGCATACTTCTGCTAGCTGGCAGTTCCCATATACTAACGCGGCGGCAACGAGGGACACGTCAGACGGTGCCACATAGTGAATGATCGCCCAAAGGAGGCAGATTCGCAGTAAGGAGGTTGTGTAGAACCTGTTGGATTTGGTAGGTGATGACCGTGCGCATGTGATATGCTTTTAGACAGAAAGGCTGATTTGCGTTCACTGAATAGTTGCTACATTGTACATTTGTTCTCCTAAATGGCTACGCTGAATCGTGAAAGTACTTTGCGAGGACCATCCAGTGGCTGACTTCTCTCGCTGGGTTAGCAGCGACTCTCGCGTAGTGTGTCGCATAGTAATCTGCTCGCGTCGCGATCTGCCTTGGGAACTCACTGGAGCAAGCCAACGAGGCTCGCACTACTGTCACCAGAAGGCCCGGCATTGTTGCTGTGTACGGGTAGTTAGTCAGTTCGTCTATCATTTAGTGGTAGTGATCATTGTTTGTGGAGAGAAGTTGGCTCATATGTTATACAGTCAATACTTGATTTTCAGTGCACGACGTCCTTCATCAGTCAGCTTCTTTCTTGACCATGAAAAAACACCGACTGGCGCTACAGATTAGGTTGGCATCATGGCCACTGGCTTCACTGTGCTAGGTCTGAGTAACAGGACCTGTCTGCATGCGATGAGGGTTGCTGCCTTTAGTCTTTCGTATATTGTTTTCAACAGCTGTCTGTACGTGTGCTGAAGCTACCGAGGGCTGGCGCGGTGTACTCGCGTTCCATTTATCATCCAAGTCTTCTAACAACGGTATGCATCGTTCCCGTGTAGGAGCAGCTTGCCGCTGTACCGCACAGGGGCTGCACACCAACAGGCCAACTCCATTACAAACTGCTCCCTTTATCAGCCTACGCTGCCAGCGGCTGCGAATTCCGATAGTGAGAGGGTTGTAACAAATGGAAACAAAACAAAGACTAGCCCACTACTAACAAGATCTCGTCTTTAGTGAAGACTACGCGTCTTCTCCTTACAGCGAGCTGCGAAAGCTCGTACACAAATAATTATGGGGCTTCGCACAAGGAACCCACAGACAGAAAGAGCCAACATTTTTGGGCAGGTTTTATATCTTGAAAACTTTCCCAAAGAAACCCGACACCCGCAGCAACCTACGCAGGCGCACTCCGTCGAAAGTGGGGGCAAACACTCACGAAGACGATCGAGCCGGCCCCAGAGCAACACACAAGGCCCAACGCAGCAGCAAACCCCGAGAGCGACTCGAGCAAGAGCAAGCAAGCCAAACAAAGCCGGGCCACCCTCCCCAACGCCTTCAGGACCCCTGTCCCGCACATACGCCAGACACAAGCCCGAGAGCCAGCCTGAACTCCTTCCCAACCTACTCCAACCACGAGCCTGCCACCAACCAGCGGGAACCAATAAAAAACCACCCCGGCCTCCCCTGTGCCGTTTTTAAAGAAAAAGCCCAACACTTCCGGCGGCGTTTTCTGCTTCGAAGCGGTTCAGCGTAGAAAAAAGAGAGACCGCCGAGCAAGAGGAGGGCCTTGCCACCAGCATGAGCCCAGTGGCGAAAGCGCAGCGAGCAAAAAGAAGAAAAAAGGCGAAGGCTAGACCTAAGGGCAAGCAGCGGGCCACTGAAGTGGCGTCGCTTGGGCTTCGCCGTGTTTCATTTGGAAGAGTATGCCCAGACTTTTTAGGTTTTCAGCCATGTGCCGCCGGTTGCATAAAAGGGAAACAAAGACCCCGAGGCGCCTTCTTTTTTTCTGCGTTTTCAGGCGCCAAAAAATCCGACCAGGCTGGTTGTTTTTAGGCTTAAAAGCTGACCCCCTTAACAGCAGAAACGAGCCCGAGCATGTGCCAGGAGTTTAGTCCGAGTTAAGGTAAGAGTTAAAACGTGAAACGCAACCGCTGGGGGGGCTCTAACATCACCCAGCCCGCGCTGCTCATCAGATGAGCTGGCGCCGTCCAGTTGTGGCCAGGGTTGTGAGCCACACGAGGGACCGCGTGGGTGCGGTGCCGTCAGCTGCTCACAGGGCTCCCCTTGGGTCTCATCTCCCCGCACTGTCTGGCCCAGCGCGGTCCCCGTTTGTCTCTCCCCTGGGTGTGGGGCGGCAACCAGCCTGGAGGCCGCCTCCCTGCCCGTCGAGTTCCCTCCAAGATTCGAACCGGAGACCCCCCGGAGCGGAGTGCAAGCACTTGCCCCGTGAGCCAATCTGGCAGGTTCGTCCGAAAACCGAGAACCTGGAGGGCCTACAAGTGACAGAATGCCACTCGAATGCGCGGGGGCGTTCTCGTCTTTTTGCTGGGTGGAGTGTTTGGGGGGGTCGTCAGCGAGGGGGGCCGCCTGAGGTCCTCAAGCATTTCCAGGCAAGGCGACCCACCTCAGCAAGGGGACAGACACAGCGCAGCCGGCTGGTCTCTTGGGTAGAGCAGCTCGCCACGGGCACCCCTCGCGGATTCCCGAAGGATTTTCGCGCGAAATTTTTTGGCCACCGACGTATGCGACCGGGGTACGCAGCCGGCCACCAGCCAGACCACGCCGGCCAACCTAAGCCGCTAAAAGCCTGCTAAAATTTTTCTAATTTTCAAGGCCACCGAAGCGAAAAGGCCCAGGCTTCTTCTTATATAAAACAAGACAAGCGACGCGACGGCGAAACCAATGCGGCAGAAACCCCGCAAGCAGCCACCACACCAGACACCGACCACACGGACGAACGACGGCCGCCCCCGATTGCGCGGCACAAGCTGAAGACCGACGACACACACGCGAGCACGACACTAACAGAAAGACAACCCGAGGCCAGGCGGCTGGAAATTCGTGGAGACTCGCGCACCACATCCACCACAAGGCCCACCAGCTTCCCCGTACCTTCCTACAATGATCCAGAGACAGAGCCGACACCCCACGGGCAACACCAGACCACCCTGCAAGCACCACCAAGGCAGGAGACCTAACCCGACGGCCGAACGTTTCCGCAAATCCTAACACCCACCACGAAAACCGGGCGCGGGGGCCGCGGTGGGACCAACCGCCGCGACCACACCAACCGCAGCAAGACCCCCGACGCAAACCCCGCCAAAAGACCCCCAGAGGGGGCTGGGAATAACCTACCCCCAACCCAAGGCGGTTGCCCGAAAGACGCACACCACTGCCAGCGCCGCGCTCTGTCTCCGGGGAGGCCGATCGCGGCAACCCAACGGCCCTGGAGTGGCCCTGTTCCGCGAGCCGACCCCAACCCATTCCCCAGCCGCTCTGTCTCCGGGGAGGCCGATCGCGGCAACCCAACGACCCTGGAGTGGCCCTGTTCCGCGAGCCGACCCCAACCCATTCCCCAGCCGCTCTGTCTCCGGGGAGGCCGATCGCGGCAACCCAACGACCCTGGAGTGGCCCTGTTCCGCGAGCCGACCCCAACCCATTCCCCAGCCGCTCTGTCTCCGGGGAGGCCGATCGCGGCAACCCAACGACCCTGGAGTGGCCCTGTTCCGCGAGCCGACCCCAACCCATTCCCCAGCCGCTCTGTCTCCGGGGAGGCCGATCGCGGCAACCCAGCGACCCTGTGGCGAGGGGTTGGCTTTTCGTGATGGGCCCCAATATTTTCACTATAAAATGGATAGATTTTGCCGGCTTTGAACTCCCAGGCAGAAAATCGCACCAGGTAGCTGGAGCGTTTTCCCACCTAATGCGGAGAACTGAAACGACAGCAGGCGCCCGCAGCTCCCCCCCAGGGGATGGCTGGGAGCGCGGGGCGGCTGCGTGGTTTGACCTCTCTGGGGACATTTTCGGAAGGCTTCCAAAATCTCCAAAGTTCGAGAAATTTCGGCTGCTATATTTTGCCCGTATATTTTGCCCAAAAAAGACGCCCGCCAGGAGCAAACGGCTGATTTTTTCGGCAAAATATTGGCAAAATATAGCACAAAATATAGCGGAAAATATAGCGCCCAAAAATGCCACCAAAAAGCGGCAATTTCTAGAGGGTGGAGCGACGCGCAACTTTGCTGGTTTTGTCAGTCTGTAGGGGACACGCAAAGCCGCGCACCCGCTGCCAGGTTTCGCGCTGGTTTGTAGGTGTCACGCAAACCCGCTCGAACAAGAAGCGGCCCATCTTGATCGGGGGGCTCGGCTGCTAAATCTAATCACTTTATAGCGAAAATCTCGGGGCAATTTCCGAAAAGGCGTCCCCTCGCCAACGGACCCTGGAGTGGCCCTGTTCCGCGAGCCGACCCCAACCCATTCCCCAACCTCGCGAGCCACTCACCGAGTCCGGCAACTACACCAGGCCCGGGCGGGACCTGTGCACACTCCAAATCGCTCAAAAAATTACTCTAATTTCATAGGCTAACCCGGGTTCTAATATTTTCCAGAGCCTTCTAAAAATTGTTCTAATCGATATTCTAACTTGAGCGCTAATTTTCGGGGGCGCAAAAAAAGAAACAACCTGACCCCCCCGCACCAGGGGGGTGCCAAGTTTTTTTTTTTTGCACCCTCGAGGAAGTAGAATTCAAGCGAGAATATCGATTAGAACAATTTTAGACACCCAAGAACACCCCTCAAAAAGCCCCGCAAAATAAATTAGAGCCCGATATTAGAAAAATTTTTAAGCCCTCTCCCCCCCTCCCTAACCCCGAAATTAGAACGACATAGACCCCTAAAATTAGGACTACACGTTAGCCCTAAATATTAGAAAAAAACTAGAAAAAAGTTGGAATTTTTGAACCGAGACCCGAGAACGCGCCTGACGAGGAAGAGCAAACGACAGAACGCCCCGCCAAACGACATCCCCCCACCCCCCCTGCGAAGACACGAAAACACAACAAGGGACCCACCCAACACGCAGCCCCAGACTAGCGACGACGCACGCAACACCAAGAGCACAGGCTGCCACAACCCGAAGACCGACGCGCCCAACCATCCTCGCCAGCAATGCCCCGCGACATATCAACACCCGTCCCCCCTTGGCCACACACCTTCCCCAACCCCGAAAAAACAACGACCACGAGGCGCCAACAGCGACGACTGCGAAACGTGGGCAGAACCTCGAAACGAGCGACGCGCCACCGATCACGCCGAGCGCGAGGACATAGGGGGCCCCGACAAGACTCCCCACTCCCCAAAAAACCTGGCCCCCCTTCCACCATATCAACAGAAACAACGCAACCCCCTGCAAAAGAACAAGCAGTAACCGAGGCCGCTGCGACCTGTCTCACCTAAGACCCCCACCATCCTCCACCCCACGGCACCCCGACCCGCACAACAACACAAAAAAAGGAGTGACCCCAAACACCACGACCACACAAGCCGAACGAGCAGACACCCCGAGAATTAGAAATTTTTTAGCCAGATTTTAGCCAGAAGAACTGCCCGGCCGTGTACGGGTGGCGGCCATATCGATCAAGCGGCGCGACCGATCAGCCGACCGAACAAGAAGCCGCAGCCACCACCTTCGACACTGTAAAAGACTTCAGCGGGCCTCCCTGTTTCCCCCGTGGTCACCGCGACGATTAACGGGACACAGCCCCGCGCCGAACCAACCAGCAAACCCACCGCCGACAGCCTCCCTCACTCGCTGGAGCCCGCCTGGATTCCTGACAAACTTCCAGACGCGAACCATGCGGCTCCTAGGCGTTTTCGTGCGAGGTCTGGGCCCCCCCTCGAGTTAGCACCAATTTCCTGCGTGCAAAGCCACGCGCCTGGTCACAAAACTCGGCGCCCGACTTATCGCCCCACATCTGGCACCGACTTGGCGAAGGTTCAGCGCTTTCAAATAGCACGACTGGGAAAAGCACCCCGCTAGCACGAGTCTAGCACTTTCCAGGTGGCACGATTTGAGACCGCACCCCGATGGCATGGGTTTAGCATGTCCGTAGAGCACTGCCCCAAGTAGCACCCCGATAGCACAAGCCTAGCACTATCGGCCAGCATTGCCTGAAGTAGCACCCTGATCAGCATCCCGGTCCAGTCCTCCGAGATGGCGCGCCCCTACGTCGCCCCTGGCTGCCGCTCCGACTAAGCCCCCACCGATCACCCCAGAGCCCTGTCCGCAAATCCCGCTACGCCCCACGAAAAAGTAGACCTTTAACCAAATCACCCGAAGCAAGCAAGGCCACCACACACAAGCCACCGCGCCGATTCCAGCCAGCTCCCTCGCTATGAGAAAAGCAACCGACTGCAGAAACACCGAGAAAACACCAGAAAAACCACAAAAAAAGCAACAGCCTAGCATCAGCCGCAAGCGGCACGCCCTCCGCGTGAATCAAAAAAAAACGAGAGCGATGGCGTTCGCCTCCGCGATAAGTTGAGCGCCGCCACTATATTGCACGCAACAAAAAAGCAAGACAGCCCGCGCGGCCTAATCAAGAGACACAGCGACAGCTCTGGCCGCTCAAACTACTGCGCAAGCCCGTCACGGCGCCACAGACACGGCCGGCCAGACTCTACGAAAATGAAAGGCCCAACGCTCCAAGCTACCCCGGGCCTTTTCCATACTCCTCGACATTCATGAAAATCACGACGGCCAACACAGCGCGCCGCCTCTGGTGCACTCTCCTCACGAAAGAGCTGCCCGCCAGCGCTTCCCCCTCTTCGTCTTTTTTAGGTTCCACCGATGGGCCCCCCCGTCCTGCCTTCAGAAGTCGAGGAGAATGAAAGGACACTAGGCGGGCCATGTTCTAGCGGGCTACAGATCTCATCCCCCCAGGCAGAGCGCCCGGAGGTGCGGAAAACGCCACGCCACCTCCTCCGGTGCTTCGACCTGGCAGGCCAAGAGGTAGAAACATCAACAACAAACGCAGCCCCTTGCGGAGATGCCTGCTACGCCTACCCCTCTGCCCCACCTCACGGGGGAGACCCTTGCCCAGTCCAAAGCATTAACTTCACACGCGGCCGCGCTGTGGTGCTGCTCTCGTCCTTCAGTGAAAAGCCCCCGCCCAGCTGAGGCCCGTGGGTGACTAGTGGAAGGTAGAGGCTCCTCTTTCTGCACACGGCGCAGGGGGGCGCCGTCTGCTTGTTCAGAATGTCACGGGGCTGACCCTCTGGCAGCGTCGCCAGCTGTCAGGCTTTTGGATCATTCCGACCGACGTCGCCGGACAGCCTCACACCTCGCGCAGCCGCTGCCGCCTCCAGTGCATGGCACGCAACACCCGCCGCAGTACATAGATAAAGACAAGGCCGCCACACTCTTCGCGCGCGTCTGCAGAGTGTGGCCCCCGGTTTTCAATTTCAACCCGCGACCGCCACGCGCTGAGGCATGAAAAGGCTGAAACGACCGCGAAAAGAGTGGGGGGCCTTCCGATGGAATACGAAAGGGATTCAGAATCTAGGAGCAAGGGCTTAGAATCTAGGGGCGAAAATATGGATCGAGTTCTGGAGCTACGAGCGAAGGGGCCGAAATTTAGGAAGAACGGCAGCGCCAATAAGATTGAGGGCAGCTGTTCGCTTGGTGTATTGCTTGGGTTCATAAGTGTGAGACCTTTTGATACAAACTAACAGAGATACCCGTCGAAGCCTGCTGATCACTTGCAACGAACAGACACCACCAACACGACACGACCAAAACCAGACGAACCGACGACACCCTACACAGACAGAGCGGCCAAAACTGACACGCGCCAAAGCGAATACGCACAAGCAAGAGACGCGGCGGTGGCGAGAGGGGGGGCCAGGGCCTCGCCGTCAGTCAGGGCGGCCCGTACCGACCACACAACGGAAAAACGCAGACAGACTTCTACTCAAGACGCAAGCCGCCCCGAGCAGTGCCGGCGGAATGGGTGCAGCCGCCGCGAGGCGTTACCCGGCGCACCCCAAGCCTCAAGGCGGCCTAACCCCAGGAGTGTCATGGGCTGACGACATGCCCCAAGGACGGGGCTCTCGCGGCAATCCAATCACGCCGGTTTTGCCCGCTACGTACCAGTGAGTGCCTCGCCGGTGGCGTTTTTCAAGCTATGGCCTCCGTGCTGTCGCTGGTTCGTTCTCGCTCCCAGTTCGCCGGTGGCGGGGATTTCAGACAAGGGGAGCCGCTGAACTTTAGGCGCGCGCGGGACTATGGCTGGCGCCACGACTTCGACCTCTCAGGCGAGAGCCCCCAAGCCGTCGCCGGGGATCTGGGACTCTCGTCCCCCGCAAGAGGGGAGCGAGAATCCCAGCACGCGCCGGGGTGTCGACAGCTGTTCTAGGTGCATTTTCTTGCGGATTGTGCGCAAAAAACGGCGCAGGCCTTCCGGCGTGCTGGGATTCTCGCCCCCCGCAAGAGGGGGGCGAGGGTTCCAGAGTCGGGGCGACAGTCTGGGAACCTCGCCCGAGGAGTCGAGGGCCCAGCACCGCCGCCAAGTCTTGAACTTGGGTCCCCCGAGCGAGTCTGGAGCATACATATCGCCTGAGCCGCCGTGGGCCATCACGAAGACCACACGCCGCGCCAACGACGGCGGAAAGCGAGCTGGGCCCAACGCTATAAGCGCGGCTAGTGGAGGACGACAAGAGTAAGACCCGACCCAGGCCTTAAGCAATTCGCCGGAGCGGCCGACGGCGGCTGCCGTGTTCATGCCCAACATGCAGCGCGGAGGAGGACCCGCGCCCCGATTCTCGCCCCCCGCAAGAGGGGAGCGAGGATCCCAACACACGACCAGCGCTTTCGAGACGTCTCTAAACCTGCGCCGACCGCGGTCAAGCCCAACCCTTGCGGCAGCCGTGTCCGAGTTTCTTGCCCCGGATAAACGGGGCGCCGGCGCCACACTGCGGAAACCGAAAGACAACGCGAAAACCCCCTCCCCGAAGATCCCAGAGCGAATAACATGCGCCCCCGACTACGTCCGCGACAGAGTTACAAGTGACCAGATTAGAAACTTCGTCTCCTCGTTTCGTAATCTTCATTGAGACCACCGCCCAGAGCTATCCTTACTACAAACTCAAACATTTTCTTCATGGGTTCGCGTTCTTCCCGAATAGCGTCTGCGAGTCCCACCTCCTGCCCTGCAGTCGTGAGCCACTTGGCATAACCGAACCGACACTGAAGCACAGTCAAGTACACCAGGACCGCCTTGACGGTTGTGATGCGCGATCCTCGTTGACTTTCTCCGGTCCATTCCAATGGAGTAGTTTTGCCACTCACAGTCACATCTTCTGCTCCTCCCTTAGGGATTAGAAACGCCACAGCGTGGCCACCCTCTAGTATTTGGTGGGTCACGCAGCTGCTTTCACCAACTTAAAAGCCAAAGCTGTGCAGGGCACATTTCTACCAGCTATGGTATAAATGAACGAGACACCTTTACTTTTTGTAGCTTTTGCGTACTTCCACGGGAGTAGTTGCCTTCTGATTCATACAACGAGATCTCTCTGCATGTCCATCAGCGTCTGCGTTCGGATGTCGTCCGTGAGACACGGCGAGATCGCGTGTAGCACAGCATCGATTCTAATATTTATGCCCATATAATCCGTCTTCACCCCTTGGAAAAATGCAGTGCCATTGGCCCACGCTTGTCCATTGCTGTCGAGTGAGAAGATGCGCGGGCGGTGCTATGACAAAGCGCGCTGGCTGAGTCTTATCGCAACGAACTGCGGTGGCCAGCACTTCAGACTAGCGCACGAGCTAGACAGATTGCGTTCCATGAAAGCACGTGCACCCAAGTGAAAAATGTTCCTGAAAGTATGCACTATAAGCCGCAGTCTAGCTAGTGTGCAAGGCGAAGTGTGGAACGGATTGGAGGAACATGAATGGCGAAGCATGCATGAATCCGAGGGAGACAAGTTGGCAACCTGTCGCTGACGTGGTGATGCCCAGCCGCGATGCGACGAGAAGCATCGAAAGCGAGTGCTGCCGACGCAGTGGCGTCCCGTCGCGATGCGACGAGAAGCATCGAAAGCGAGTGCTGCCGATGCAGTGGCGCCCCGTTGCGATGCGACGAGAGGCGTCGAAAGAGAGTGCTGCCGACGCAGTGGCGCCTCGTCGCGATGCGACGAGAGGCGTCGAAAGGGAGTGGCGCTGACGCAGTGACGCCTCGTCGCGAGGCGACGAGAGGCGTCGAAAGGGCGTGGCGCCGAGGCAGTGACGCTCCGTCGCGGTGCGACGAGAGGCATCGAAAGCGAGTGCTGCCGATGAGATGGCGCCCCGTCACGGTGCGACGAGAGGCATGGAAAGCGAGTGCTGCCGGCGCAGTGGCGCCCCGTCGCGATGCGACGACAGGCATCGAAAGCGAGTGTGGCCGACGCAGTGACGCCCCGCCACGATGCGACGAGGGGCGTCGAAAGCGAGTGCGGCCGACGCAGTGACGCCCCGTCGCGATGCGACGAGAGGCGCCGAGCGCGAGTGCTGCCGACGCAGTGACGCCCCGCCGCGATGCGACGCAGTGGCGCTCCGTCGCGGTGCGACGAGCGGCGTCGGGGGCGAGTGGTGCCGAGGCAGTGACGCCCCAGCGCGGTGTGACGAGACGCATCGAAAGCGAGTGGCGCCGACGCAGTGACGCCCCGTCGCAATACGACGAAAGGCGCCGAAAGCGAGTACTGCCAACGCACTGGCGCCCCGACGCCATGCGACGACAGCGAGTGCTGCCGACGCAATGACGCCTCGTCGCATCGCGACGAGATGTATCGAAGGAGGGCGGGAGCGTGGTGAGTGGGCGAAGAGAAGCAGACGAGCGAGCGAAGCAAAGGCGACGCGCAGCTGTCGAGGGGTGGGGGTGCGAAGCGAAACATCACCCCGCGAAAATCATACCGCGCGTAAGATACGCGGCCCCAGCGAGGTGAGCTGTGGCCTTCAGAGTCATGACCGATCATGTTCCTCACCGAATACAGCACAGACTCACCCAAACAACCTTAGCCATACGTCTGCGGGGTCTTTGCCAGCCTGCGCAGGCGCGCCCCCGTGTCTGCTTGTGTCGAGCGAGTGCCCGAAGCGTTGCGGGGTCGTGTTGGTCCACGGGGTGCCGAATAAGAGATGAAAGAGGACAAACACCAAGACACAGACGCAGACGTAAAGAACAATCCGAGCAGCAAAGCGCCAGCGATCCGAACGCCAGAACCTCGACCACTGGAGCACAGCGGGAGCCTCCTTTTTACGCTGCGAAAGTAGGCGCGCTCCCTCGTCCTCGGATTAGAAATAATGTCAGCCCAGACCTAGAGCTGAGAGTTTTCATACCAAATACTACCTCCGCGGCCTCCAAATCGAGCGCCATTCGATGGCGTGCCCATCATATCCACAACAATTGCGTTTACTTTCGTGCCCTCAGTCTCATTAAATAATTCGGAGCCATAATGCAAGGACTCGTCTGGTGACCACGGCGAACTCGCGCGCAATCTCGGAGCCCAGGACGGGGTCCCGGCGTTCTCTCCCTCTGCCGCAATCGTCGCCATTTTGATTGCTGGCGAATCTCTTAACACACACACCACCAAAAAAAACTGCCGGGATTTTACGCGCTATTTCAGAAGAAGAGTCTACTTAAGTAGAGGAAATTGGAGCAGTCAGATGCAGCTGCGCATCATCACACAGTGCGCTGATAATCTGAAGGCCTACAGAGGTCGAAAAACTGTTATTGGTAGCCAGATAAAAACAAGGTGAGGTCACCATAGCGGGGCCCTCTTGCGTTCGTATAATGCTGGGCACCGAAGAACCCAAGCGCGCGGCCTCAATGGCTACGATAACGTAACGCGGGTCCCCAAGGAGCAACACACCAGCCGCAAGCGCGACATTCATAAAATGACGACCAGAACTCGGCGAGGCGAGCCCTCCCACTGAGACATGGCGGGCACAAAGAGCTCTGAATTTCCCCAGGCGGCGCGGCCGAGGTCGCGCCAACTGCAAAGGCCGACAGCCTCGAGGGCCCCACCCGGTGACACTGACAACGGGAGAAAGCAAGGGACCGCAGGCACCAGGAAGCAAGCTGACCCACGGCATGCCCCACCCTGAAGGCCAGAAATGTGGTTCCCGATCATTCACCGCCGAGCCTGTCTGGGCTGAGGATTCAAGGCAAATAAATGCCGACACCACAGGAGGCAGGCGGACACTAAGACCAGAAAAAGCTGCCCAAAGGAGCAAAGCGCCCAGACAAAACAAAGCACCGAGCAAGACAAACTTCTTTCAGGCGCTACCACCGCGCAAGCGTGGTCGGGCGCTAGCCAAAAACTGGCGCAGCCTGCAAGATGCGGCGAGGGAGGGCCAAGGCCACGCGCCTGGCGCTGGGTTCTGGTTCAGCGCCTGCCACGCCAAAGAAGTGCCTAGTTGGCCCAAGCAAGTCCCCGCCTCTGCGCTTGCGGAAGTATCTCAAAAAAAAGAGAGACAGCCCACAAACAACAAAACGCCCCCGCCCAGTTCACTGGCTGCGGGCATCATGTCACGCGCCATGGATGCCTTGTCCCGGCGACCCAGATGCAAAGCGCCTCCCCTTCTTCCCTGGTCCACGAGCACGACCGGCAACGACCATGCCGAAAAGCATAGCCGGCCTCTGATCCGCGCACCTAGCGTGCGCTCGACGTTGCGACCACCCCTCACACCCGAGCAGAAGAGCACTAGCCAGTGGCCACCACGCAGGGCTCTCCCAGGGAGAGATCTATGATGACGCGCGCCAGCTGGTGCAAAGGCTAGCACGACAGCGGGACCGCCACGGCGCTCGTCGTGCCTTACTTGTCCGGGCTCCCTTGTTTTCAATCAAAGGCGCGAGATAATCGCCCGCGCGGACGCGGTCGGCAGTTTTTGTTTATCATTGCTTGGGGACCGAAATGCCCACCGATCGGCCTGGGCGGGGGTCGGTCGGTGCTTGCGATCATTCCAGCCGCCAATGTTTGCTGCGCTCGCTCTCTGTCCCGCAGCCTGCGCTAAGGAGCCAAGGCAAAAAACCCCCGCCCGCTACCCGCGGCTGCGCCCCAACGCCTGGGAAGCGAGGCGTTGGTGGCACAGTTGTCACCACGAAAAGCACCGTTGCGTTTGGCAAGAGTCCCCGGCCACTGCGAACGCCTTCCCCGAGGCTCCCCGGGGCAAGCGAACAAGCAAAGGCGCTCCCCGAGTGGGTTCAGCGAGCATGCTGCCAGGCGCCTGCCACGGTTAACCCAAGCAGGCTTGCCGCGCGGGTCCTCCCATGATGGCGGCCAGCATGGCCAAACGGAACCTACCCACAGAGGGGCCGCGGGCGCTGTGTAAGCATGACAGCGCACCTGACAGGCCACCGCCAGCGAAGAACGTCGCAGCCCGGTGCGATCGATGACAGAGCGCCTGGCCATGGCAATGACGGCGGACCCAACGGCGAGCCAAATTTTGCTCGGCCCGCTGGCATCTTGTCACGCCTTGCCGGCCCACTTGGCGCCACCACCCAAAGACCGCCCGACCCCTAGACACAAGCCCCCCGCCCCTCCAAGTGGTCCCCTCGGCAAATCTTGGACGACATCCACAAAGTGGCCAGGGCCCGCGATTTCAGTCCCCCCGCTATGTCTTCTCGCTTTCTTCCACTGGTCCCCTCTACTGCCTGGATGAGGGTCAGGGGCTGAGCAGTGCAGTCACCCACCTGGAGCGCCCTCCCCAAATCTTCACCTGTGCAGTTTCTCTGCCACAGCGGCCGCTGGCTCTGGGCAGCCTGCCAGGCAGGGGCCGCTCCTTCCGCCGACTGACTCGGCTTTTTAGAGGGTCAAGAATAAGAGAGAGAGGCGCCCGCTAACCACGGAGAGAGCACGAAGACACGAAAGCGCGGCGGCCGATGAGGCAGGGGGCGAGGCGTCACGCGCGAGAGAGTCACAAAAGTGGCACCGCAGTTACTTCAACAGCCAAGCACGCACGGCGGCACCCCGTGGGGTGCGGATTTTTTCTGCATAAATGTAAAAAAGTAACAAAGTAAGCGGAAAGACGCGAGTGGCACTGTACAGTAGACACGCAGAAGCGCCGCAGCCGGTGGCTAGAGGAGCATCGCGCAGACGCGCCCGGGCCATTTCCCTGTGCTGTCAGCCACGCTCTCGAATATTTAAGCGGCAAAAATGCCAGACAACCCCAAAAGAGCGAGTCCCGTCCACCGCTTTGCTCGAGGCAAGGCCGTCGGCCCACCTTTAGAAGATAGGGGCTGTCAATGTCGTCGGGTGAGGCCCTCGAGGGTGTTGGCCTTTGCAAAAGCTTGGCGCCGGTAACGTGGGCGCGCGAACTCCCCTCGCACCGCCTGCGGCAATCACTAGCGCCAAACCCGAATGGGGCACCCCGATGCCGTTTGCCTTTTGAAGTAGAAAGATAGAAACTCGGCCACCTGGTGCTTCGAATCAAGAGCCAACGGGGCCCCACTTCCAAAAAACCGGCGCGGAGCTACGGTCTGCCCGCAAGCGGGGCGGGCCGTGTCAGTCGGAGACAAAGCTGCCCGCGGCGAGTAGCGACAACCTAGACTCACGACGGGCATACTTACTTATGCACCCCACACCCTTGCTACACGCCTGCGGCGCTGCCTCCCTAAAAACCAGCTAAAGGTCTGCTAGGCTCTTGGTGCCACAAGCCATGGCTGTACTGATGAGACCCCTGGGAGATGAGGAGGCCGCGCCTTCTGAGCTATAGCGCAATACTATCCCTGGGCTTACCCTTACAGCTTCAGCGCCGAAAGTAGCGGCAGAATGGACCGCCGTGGCCCTTCAAACCCAAGCTTCGCCACAAGCTGCGGCGGCCTAATTTCTAAGCGAGGTGCACACGGAGCAAAGTAAGCCTGAAGCGTAGCCAACGTGCACCTTTGCCAGCCAATTCCAACCCCTCCGCAGCCGATTGGGCTTTACGGATTCACAGCGGCCTGTGCAAGTGGCGCAGGTGTTGTGCTTTGCGCTGCGTCTTCTAAGACACTGATGACTTCCACGCTATGGCGCGCGCCCGCTCTTGCGGTCCGGTGGGTCGCAGGGCTATGGCATAGCGGATCCACCGTCTAGGCGCGAAAGTCTGAGTTTTTACGCTCACGCGGTAAGTCCGTATACACGACGCGACCCTTCCCAGAATTTGGGACCGATGTGCCCGCGCTCACTCCTTCCCGCCTTCAGGCCCTCGCTTTGTAAGACTCCGCAGCCACGCGCCGCAGCCGCACGCCCGCAGCACGGGTCAAACAACCTGGAACGCCAGAGAGACGGGCGGGGAGCCATCACTCCGCAAACGGCACGCGCGGGCGGGCATTCGTTGCTCCTGCCTCGGTACCCTCCTTGAGCCTGTGCTGCGGGAGCTGCGTCTAGCAGTGCTCCCAAATCAGAAGACCAAGAGGGCCCCCCGTCGCCAGTGCAAGCACGCGGTCGGGCGCGGCCCTGGATAGTAGCGCGCGACGGGCCGTGGTCCGAACGCGGGGCACCACACAGCATCGCCATGCATGCAAACACCCTCTCCGGCAAGCCAAGAGCGAATCCCAGGAGAAACACGGGCCGCGCCCGATTGTCCTGGCGCAGCGCGTGGCCCTTCGTTGCATCGCCCTGCAGCCGCCCAGCTGGGTGTCCTGTCCTCGCTGAAGAGCTCTGCGCTGCCACGCCCACACACATGGCAAAAAGCTAGAACACCGCGCGCAAGCCACCTGCTTCCGGCTCCGGTGGCCCTCACGCACCCCCATCGCCCCCGAAAAGCGCACAGGGGCCGCCTGTGCTTCGTCGACGTGCGTGAACCCTCACGCAGCCTAACCAAGCAGGCACACAAGTGACCGATGGAGCGGGCCGTCGCGCGGTCCAAACAGGTGCGCCACAGGGCCGCTGCGCGATCGCGGCTGCCGTCCCTGTGGATCCCATGGCACACTGCCGCGTCCCCCTTTCTAGCCGCACAAAACCATCAAGCCGATCCGACATCCCAACGCGCCGACAGTGGCAACTGCGCTGCGCGCTTTCTGCGTGTCGTCCCGGTTTCGTTTTCCCAGCGTACGGGCAGCCCTTGGCTTCCCTGCGTCGCGGGCACCTGAGGCGCCGCGCGTATTAGCCCGCACGCGTGTCGCGGCGCACATGCAGCAGAATCGACAGACACCGTGCCCCCCCCGTAGACGCAAAACCAGCGCCGATTTTGTCGGCCGTTGTCTCTTCAGAAGTCCGATCCTGCGACTCAATCTTTTGCGCACAGCGGCGCTGCGCTGCTTCCCTTGCTTGCTCATGCAGCCGCAGCGCAAATGCAAAGGGCCAGTGCGGTGCACCGGGTCGCACCGTGGTGCCAGTGCGCGTGGCCAGTGGCCATCAGCTCACGTCACCAGCCCAGACCGCGACACCCCTTCCACCGGTTTCACTTCTATCTTCCTCCGAGGGCCGAGTCTCTGTCTCTGGTGCCTCTCCTGAGAGTGCTGGCCCAGCTCCTAATAGAATCACGAGGACAACACCCAAGCACCAACGAGGCCCATTTATGTGAATGCTTTCCACTTTCATTCCCGTCCCATCGTACGAGCCTGCTGACGTCGATGCGGACACACATGGATCGTCATCATCTCATGGACGCGGATGGGCATTGAGAAGGGCATCTCGTCACGATACCTGTCCAGGGGCATGCGCTCCGTGGAAAACGCGAAGCGGCATCGCGGTAGACTGGACGCAAGCCAAACCGAGGTAGCTGACAGCTAGGGCTGCATCGGTCAGCCAGCCGCACGGGCCGCAGCACTTCAAAGCCCTCCAGTGACCGCTGCAAGAGTGTAGAGCCGCTACAGCGCGCTACATCCAAACCGCCAAGCAGGGCGCTTTAGTAATTCGGCTGAGCCTGAGCAGACAGAAACTCGCCAAGCCGACAGAAACCCGCCTGAGCCATTGCCAATTCTCTCTGGGTCTGGACTCCCAGCACGACCAAGCGAGCCAGGCTCAGGCGCTCTCCACAGATCAAGCACGAAGCCCCCGGGCCGTAGGGCTGCCTTTCAGGAACACAGGCAAGAGCCTTCGGCGCGCAAGGCGCAGTGCGTGAGGCGAACCAAAGCGCACCCTTGCCGGCAATGGCGTCCATTCTCTATCTCCTGCAAAGCCGGCCGGGCTTCACCTATTCACACCGGTGGCACTGCCATGCCTTGCGCCGTCTCTTGTTGGGAGGCGCTGATGGATGCCACGTAACGGCGGGCGCGCATCCTGTCGCTCGGCCGTAGAGCTGAGGCAGATCCACCTTTTCCAAGTAGGCACAAAACAAAGTCTGAATTTTTCAGCCAGGCTGCGGGGGGGGCGCTCGCTCCCTCCAGGCTCCGCGCCCCCGTTTTGTAAGTCTGACTCAATAGCCACGCGCCGCAGCCGCACGCGGCACGGGTCAAACAACCCAAGGCGCCAGAGAGACAAACGAGCATACATCGCTCCGCAAAAGGAAACCTCGGGCGGGCAGTCGTGGCCCCGCCTGAATGCCCGTCTCGAGCCTGTACTGCAGCCACCCACCACGCGCAACAATGAATAACCCCAGCGGCCTCAACGAGGAGACCACGATGGGCCCCGCCGCTGCATGCCGCCACGCAAGTACACACCCGCCTCTGCTAACACCGTCCAAGGCTGGCAGCACACAGCGAGCAGTGGTTCAGACGAGAGAAACGCCTGCAGGCATGCTTGTGAATAACCCAGCGCGCCAGCGGTGAAGACCAAGAGAGACGCGGACCGCGCCGGCGGTCTTCCCGTGGCGGATCGGTTCCCCTGTCGCTACGCGGGGGCCATTCGTTCTATCGGATCACTCGACAACCACCCAAGCCGCCGCTGTCCTTGAGCGTGTCCCTGCACACATGACAAAAAAAGCGACACCGTGCGCCAGCCACCTGCCCCCGGCTCCGGTGGCCCCCAAGCACCCCCACAAGAGCGCGCAAGGCCCCGCCGCCTGTGCTTCGTCGGCCTATCTGCGTACGGCCTAGCCCAGCGGGGTCACAATGAGCCGACGGGGAATGAAAGCCGGCGGCCGCATGGTCCTAGCAGATAGGCCGCGGGGCCTCGGTGCGGCCGCGTCTGCTTCCCCTGTGAATCTCCCATCAGGTTCACCAGCTCCCCTTTCTAGCCAAGCAAGATCCTTAAGCCAAGCCGACATCCTCACCCCAGCGACCCGACTGAGTCAACTGCGCTGCGCGCTTTCTGCGTGCCCTCCCGGTCTCTGTGTGTTTGCCAGCGTAGGCGCTGGTCTTGGTTTCCCTACGTTGCGGGCCCGCCCCCTGCGCCGCGTATATTAACCCACAAGCCTGTCGCGATGCATATCAGAAGGAGCGGAGCGACACCGCGGCCGCCCCCCAAGACGCAAAATGGGCACCGATTTTGTCGACCATTGTCTTGGCGTCAGATGTCCAGTCGCGCGACTGTGTCTTTTGCGCGTGGCAGGCGCTGTGCTGCCTGTCGTGCCCACCCACGCAGCTGCACCTGAAGAGGGCCAGCGCGATGCATCCGGGTCGCAACGTGGTGCCAGTGTCCGGGGCCAGTGGCCACAACTTCACACCACCAAGCCGCGACTCGTCCACCGATTTTCTTTCTTTCTCCAAGGATGCCTCTGTCTCTCCTTAGAGCGCTGACCCAGCAAGAGCCTGCCAAAAGATCTAGACCCGTAACACCCAAACACCACGGGAGGCCACTCACCTGAGTGCTTTGCGTTTGGGCTTCCCTCTCTTTGAATAGGGAAGCTCACTCCCTCTCCAGGATTGGATCGGTGGGCACGCTTGGCACGCTGGGCCGCTGGGCGGCCCAAAAGTTGGCCTTCTGCGAAAGATGTCGCCCACCGTGCGCCCCCCGTGAGACTTGGGGCCAAAAATCGGGGCGCCCTTCGGGCGCCCATTTCTGAAGCCCCCCGGCAGAGTAAGCGCATGCGCCCTGGATCCGCAGCAAGCTGCATACGAATCAGGGCGCTCACCTATTGGCCCGCCTGGGAATATCCCTCAGCAGCACTGGCCGCACATTGCAGCAGAGCACTGGCGCACACTGCAGCGCTGCGCCGCACTCTACACACCCAGGCGGCACTGCATACTGCAGCGAAGCACCGCAAGCAGCGGGAACGTGGCCACCCCGCAAAGGAGCACAGCGCCGCGCCGCACTCGACTGAGGTCTTGTACATTGGCGGAAGCAGCGGGGCAATGCCATACGCGCCCAGCGTGCGCCCACCGTGCCCCCCATGTGTGCCAAGGGTCCGCCCACCGTGCCAAGCGTGGCCGCCCAGCGGCCCAGCGTCGCCCACCTTCCCACCGTCTATAAACTATTCTATATATAATACGAGATGGCATGGACGTGCCTGCGCGTTTCAAAGTGCCTTGAGCTTCATGTTCTCGAAAGGCGGCGCGCCTACAACTCTCACAATACATGTGGGTAAGATCCTCCAAGGAGTGATCTGCAATAGCCGCTGCTCTGCACGAGTGTAGAGCACAGCGCGCCACATCCATACGCACCGCGAGGGCGTTTCAATACCTCGCAAGCGCGCCTCCATAACCATAAGAAGTGGGCATCATAACTGTGCACGGCGTGCCTGTGGTGCCAGTGATTGCGTGAGCGGTGCCCAGTACCTTGCCAGCAGCGAGCGCCCCGCCAACCAATGGGTTACGAAGATAGTCCCATGACGACGCGGCCCCACAGACGTCGGCGAGCCCCCTTCTGCTGCAGAGAAGGGCCAGCGCGCAGCTTTGAGCGGTGCTCACGATCTATAATCAGCCCACAGGCCGTGGCGCTAACACGCTTTAACACGAGGACACAGCGACCCACGTCACAGCTCACTAAAAAGCGGCGCGGAGCTACGGTCCGCTTGCAAGCGGGGCGGGCCGTGTCAGTCGGAGACAAACCTGTCCGCGGCGAGTAGCGCCAACCCCGACTCACGGGGATACTGATGCACACCACCCCCTTGCTACGCACCTGCGGCGCCGCCTTCCTAGAAACCGGCTAAGAGTCTGCTAGGCTCTTGGTGCCACAAGCCATGGCTGCAATGATGAGACTCTTGGGAGATGAGAGAGCCGCACCTTCTAAGCTATAGCGCAATACCATCCCTGGGCCTACCGCTTCAGCGCCGAAAGTGGCGGCAGAATGAACCGTCGTGGCCCTTCAAGCCCAAGCCTCACCACAAGCTGCGGCGGCCTAATTTCTAAGCAAGGCGCGCACGAAGCAAAGCCTGAAGCAAAGCTAACACGCATCTTTGCCAGCCAATTCCAACCCCTCCACAGCCGGTCGGGCTTTACCGATTCACGGCGGCCTGTGCAGGTGGCGCCGGTGTTGTGCTTTGCGCTGCGTCTTCTAAGAGAGACACTGATGGCTTCCACGTTATGGCGCGCGCCCGCTTTTGCGGTCCGGTGGGTCGCAGGGCTATGGCATAGCGGATCCACCGTCTAGGCGCGAGAGTCTGAGTTTTTACGCCCACACGGTAAGTAAGTACTTATACACGACGCGACCCTCTCCAGAATTTGGGACCGATGTGCCCAAAGACGTGCCCGCGCTCACTCCTTCCCGCCCTCGTTTTGTAAGACTCCGCAGCCACGCGCCGCGGCCGCACGCCCGCAGCACGGGTCGCCAGAGAGACAGGCAGGGAGCCATCACTCTGAAAAAGGCACGCGCGGGCGGGCATTCGTTGCTTCTGCCTGGGTACCCACCTCGAGCCTGTCCTGCAGAAGCTACGTCTAGCAGTGCTCCCACCCAAATCAGAAGGCCAAGGGGGTCCCCCGTAGCCAATGCAAGCACGCGGTCGGGCGCTGCCCTGGATGGTAGCGCGCGGCGGGCCGTGGTCCGGGCGCGGGGCACCACGCACCATCGCCATGCATGCAAACACCCTTCCCGGCAAACCAACGGCGAATCCCAGGAGCAAAATGGGCCGCGCCCGCTTTCCCGCGCAGCGCGTGGCCCCTCGTTGCATCGCTCTGCAGCCGCCCAGCCCGGTGCCCTGTCCTCGCTCAAGAGCCTTGCCACGCCCACATACATGGCAAAAAGCTAGAACACCGCGCGCAAGCCACCTGCTTCCGGCTCCAGTGGCCCTCACGCACCCCCATCGCCCCCAAAGAGCGCACCGGGGCTGCCTGTGCCTCGTCGACATACCTGAATCCCCACGCAGCCTAAGTAACCAAGCAAGCACACAAGTGACCGACGGAGCAGGCCGTCGCGCGGTCGCAACAGGTACGCCACTGCGCGATCGCGGCTGCCGTCCCCGTGGATCCCATGGCACGCTTACGCGCCCCCCTTTCTAGCCGCGCAAAACCCTCAAGTCGAGCCGACATCCCAACGCGCCGACAGTGGCGACTGCGCTGCGCGCTTTCTGCGTGTCGTCCCGGTTTCGTTTCCCCAGCGTACGCGCTGCCCTTGGTTTCCCTGCGTCGCAGCACCTGAGGCGCCGCGCGTATTAGCCCCCACGCGTGTCGCGGCGCACATGCACCAGAATCGACAGACACCGTGGCCGCCCTAGTAAACGCAAAATCAGCGCCGACTGTGTCGACCTTTGTCTCGTCAGGAGTCTGGCCCTGCGGCTCAGTCTTTCTTTTGCGCACAGCGACGCTCTACTGCTTTCCTTGCTTGCTCATGCAGCTGCAGCGCAAATGCAAAGGGCTAGCGCGGTGCACCCGGGTCGCACCGTGGTGCCAGTGCGCGCGGTCAGTGGCCATCAGCTCACGCCACCAGCCCAGACCGCGACTCCTCTTCCACCGATTTCACTTCTATCCTCCTCCGAGGGCCGAGTGTCTGTCCCTGGTGTCTCTCCTGACCCTGAGAGTGCTGGCCCAGCTCACTAATAGAATCACGAAGACAACACCCAAGCACCAACAGGGGCCATTCATGTGAATGCTTTCGACGTTCATTCCCTTCCTATCGTACGAGCTTGCTGACGTCGATGCGGACACAGATGGGTGCGGAAGATGGGCACTGAGAAGCGTCTCTCGCCACGATATCTGCCCAGAGGCATGCGCCCCGTGGAGAACGCCAAGCAGCATCGCGGGGGACTGGACGTAAGCCGAACTGAGGTAGCTGACAGCGGGGGCTACCTCGCTCAGCCAGCCGCACGAGCCGCAGCACTTCAAAGACCTCAAGTGGCCGCTGCAAGAGTGTAGAGCCGCTACAGCGCGCTACAGACACCCAAACCGCCAAGCAGAGTGCTTTAGCAATTCGTCTGAGCCTGAGCAGACAGAAACTCGCCAGGCCGACAGAAACCCGCCTGAGCCCTTGCCAATTCTCTCTGGGCCTGGACTCCCAGCACGACCAAGCGAGCCAGGCTCAGGCGCTCTCTACAGATCAAGCACGAAGCCCCTGGGCCGTAAGGCTGCCTTTCTGGAACACAAGCAAGAGCCCGCGAGCACTTCGGCGCGCAAGGCGCAAGGCGTGAGGCATAACCAAAGCGCACCCTTGCCAGCAATGGCGCCCATGCTCTATCTCCTGCAAAGCCGGCCAGGCTTCACCGGTTCACACCGGTGGCACTGCCATGCTTTGCGCCGTCTCTTGTTGGAAGGCGCCGATGGATGCCACGCAATGGCGGGCGCGCATCCTGTCGGCCGGCCGTAGAGCTGAGGCAGATCCATCTAGGCGCAAGAGTCTGAATTTTTCAGCCAGGCTGCGGGGGGCGCGCTCGCTCCCTCCAGGCTCCGCGCCTCCGTTTTGCAAGTCTCCTGGCTCAAACTCAAAAGGCACGCGCCGCAGCCGCACGCGGCACGGGTCAAACAACCCAAGGCGCCAGAGATAGAGAGACAAACGAGCATCCATCGCTCCGCAAAAAGAAACCCCGGGCGGGGAGTCATAGCCCTACCTGGGTGCCCGTCTCGAGCCTGTACTGCAGCCACCCACCACGCGCAACAATGAATAACCCCAGCGGCCTCAACGCGAAGACCACGATGGGCCTCGCCGCTGCATGCCGCCACGCAAGCACACGCCCGCCCCTGCTAACACCGTCCAAGGCCGGCAGCACGCAGCGAGCAGTGGCTCAGACAAGAGCAGCGCCTGCAGGCATGCTTGTAAATAACCCAGCGCGCCAGCGGTGAAGACCAAGAGAGACGCGGACCGCGCCGGCAGTCTTCCCGTGGCGGATCGGTTCCCCTGTCGCTACGCGGGGGCAATTCGTTCTATCACTCTACAGCCACCCAGGCCGCCGCTGTCCTTGGGCGTGCCCCTGCACACATGACAAAAAAAGCGACACTGTGCGCCAGCCACCTGCCCCCGGCTCCGGTGGCCCCCAAGCACCCCCACAAGAGCGCGCAAGGCCCCACCGCCTGTGCTCCGTCGGCCTATCTGCGTACAGCCTAGCCCAGCGGGGTCACAATGAGCCGACGGGGAATAAAAGCCGGCGGCCGCGTCGTCCTGGCAGGGAAGCTGCGGGGCCCCGGGGCGGCCGCGTCTGCTTCCCCTGTGAATCTCCCACCAGGTTCACCAGCCCCCCTTTCTAGCCAAGCAAGATCCTCAAGCCAAGCCGACGCCCTCACCCTAGCGCCCCGACTGTGGCAGCTACGCTGCGTGCTTTCTGCGTGTCCTCCCGGTCTCTGGGTGTTTGACATCGTAGGCGCTGGTCTTGGTTCCCCTACGTTGCGGGCCCGCCCCCTGCGTCGCGTAAATTAAGTATTAACCCGCAAGCCCGTCGCGATGCATATCAGAAGGAACTGAGCGACACCGCGGCCGCCCTCCAACACGCAAAATGGGCACCGATTTTGTCGACCCTTGTCTTGCTGTCAGATGTCCAGTCGCGCGACAGGAGCTTCTGCGCGTGGCGCTGTGTTGCCTGTCGTGGCAATCCACGCAGCTGCACCTGAAGAGGGCCAGCGCAATGCATCCGGGTCGCAACGTGGTGCCAGTGACAGTGTCCGGGGCCAGTGGCCACCACTTCACACCACCAGGTCGCGACTCGTCCACCGATTTTCTTTCTTTCTCCAAGGATGCCTCTGTCTCTCCTTAGAGCGCTGACCCAGCAAGAGCTTGCTAAAAGATAGATCTAGACCCGTAACACCCAAGCACCACGGGAGGCCACTCATCTGACCCGCTTTGCGTTTGCGCTTCCCTTTCTTATAATACGAGATGGCATGGACGTGCCTGCGCGTTTCAAATTGCCCTGAGCTTCCTGTTCTCGAATGGCGGCGCGTCTACTCTCACAATACATGTCCAGCAGGGTGCGAAGCAGCAACGGCGTAGGCTAGAAACGAGCGGAGCCGAAGCAAGTGGCAGCTGGAGCAGCCTCAGTTGTATGTGGGTAAGATCCTCCACGGAGTGATCTGCAATAACCGCTTGTAGGCACATAGCGCCATATCCATACGCACCGCGAAGGCCTTTCCATACTTCGCAAGCACGCCTCCATAAGATATAACCAAAAAAAAACTACTCACCCTCAGCTACTTAAAAACTTTTAGTCACCTTAAACTACCTAGATTCACTAGCTAGCTAGTTAGATAGTCGTAATATTGTAGCTTAGTGGTCTCTCGGCGTTGTCTCTCATCAAGAAACCGACTACCAGGTCAGTCCGGTGCATTCGTAGCAGCGGGCAGGAGAACAGAAAACGGGCCGGATATTTTGTAACAGTAAAAAATTACTAGTGCAGGTTTTTTAGCTAAGCTAACGCAGGTTGACCGAAGTCGTTCAAGTTGTGACCGAAGTCGTTCAGGTTCGTACTTTTTCCCTGTCGGGTTGTTTTGGGTCTTGAGCGGGAAAGTGTGAAAATCATGCAAGTAAAAGTAGGCCAATATTTTATACCAGTAACACCATAGGAGTCAGGAAATTCATCGAGATGCATCAATTCATTTTTTCACGATTTTAAACAGCACCAAGAACAAGAAAAAGCAAACGAGTCCAATACTTTTCGAAAGAGTGCCGGGGCGTGATCGTCAATTTTTTATTTGGATAGAAACACGAGCAGAAACCAGAAGCGTGCAGATTTTTATTTTGAACATTAAAGCACCAGGGGCATGATCGCCATCGTGATACTTTTGAGCTTCTAACCTTTACCATAGTAGTACCATCATCGGGAGACTTTTAAGATTGTAACTTTTTAGAACTTAAGGCATTGAGAACGTGGAAGGACCGGATTGGAAGCGAGACAGGATTTAGATCGCAAGACTCTACTACGATAATAGACGGAGGACGTCTGCAGCTGGCAGCAAGAGGGCCGAGTCTGGGAGACGCAGACGAGCGAAGGTTGCCAAATATACAGGCGCACCCCACAAGAAAATGATAATGGTTGAAGGTGTCTAGGAAGAAATAGCGATGCTTGTGGTCGCGTGGATCCAGGTGGATCCACGAGACCAATGCGCCACATATTTCCTTCTAGATCTACCTTCAGTCATGTCAGATTCTTGCGGGCTTGGCCTGTATATATGTCCAACGACCTTCGCCTGCCTCTCCGAGTCCTGGTCCTCTTGCCTCCGGCTGCAGGGATCCTCCGTCAACTACTTAATTAGCTAGCTATTGAAGCTACCTAGTTTAACAACAAGAGAAGTTTTTAAGTAGCTGAGGGCGAGTAGTTTTTTTTTGGTTCTATAAGAAGTGGGCATCATAACTGTGCACGGCGTGCCTGTGGTGCCAATGATTGCGCGAGCGGTGCCCAGTACCTTGCCAGAAGCGAGCGCCCCGCCAACCAATGGGCAAGGTAGATAGTCCCATGACGACGCGGCCCCACAGACATCGGCGAGCCCCCTTCTGCTGCAGAGAAGGGCCAGCGCGCAGTTTTGAGCGGTGCTCACGATCTATATATAATCAGCCCGCAGGCCGTGGCACTAACACGCTCTAAAACGAGGACACAACGACCCACGCCACAGCTCACTAAGCCTGCTCGCAAGCATTCTGACGCCCATGACTGGAGCTTCGTTCTACGTAGCAGCGCTATAAGCCGCCATCTGCGGGCGCATCTGCCCATATCCGATTGCAGTGGTCACCGCTGCGGCAGCTACACTAGGAGGAGGCCGCCCAACTCAGACGTCCGTAGTGCATCTTCTCGCAGGGGAATCAGAGATGGAGGACGGGGGTAGATAAATTATAGATGATGATGCGGCGAACAATCCAAGATGATAGAGAAGCCCGTTCCCATGCAGCGCCACAGGTAGCTTACACTAGCGACCGAGCCTTGCCAGTGCCACTGTTTATAGTCCTATCTCCCACTTGCGCTCTCGTGCGTGTCTTCGTAGTCGCCGCTCGTAAGTATGGAGGCATAATTATGAAGCGGCGCGAGAGGGTGGCGTAGCTAGTAGAAACCGACGGGCCTGCGGCTGCGCGATTATGTTCTCACACCGATAGCCCCGCCAAGAGACCCAGCGACCCAGCACGCGGTGCAAGCCAAGAACGAAGCGCGCGAGGAACGTGGGCCGCGCCGGCTGTCTTCCCGTGGCAGATCGGTTGCCCTGGCGCAGCGCGGGGCCCTCTGTTGTATCGCTCTGCACCCGCTCCGCCTGGCGCTCTGTCCTCGGGAACCTTCCCGCGATGGATCCCACGCACGGACATGACAAGCGGCAAGAACTCCACACAAAAGCCACCTGCATCCAGCTCCGCTGGCCCTCGCGCCCTAAAAGCGCGACGGGGCCGCTTATGCTTCGTCGGCCTACCTGCGTATGGCCTGACCCAGCGGGCACAAGAGTGGCCTCCCTTCATCAAGACAGGCGGCCGCGTGGTCCTAACAAGCAGGCCGCGGGGCCTCTGCAAGACCGCGTCTGCCGTCCCCGTGGATCCCATGCCACACTCACGCAGCTCTCTTTCATTTTAGCCGCGGAAGACCCTCAAGCCAAGTCGAACTCCCACCGCGCCGACAGTGGCAACTGCGCTGCGCGCTTTCTGCGTGTTGTCCCGGCTTCTTTTTCCCAGCGTCGGCGCTGCCCTTGGTTGGTTTCCCTGCGTCGCGGGCGCCGCGTGTGCATGGTCCAGGGGCCAACGCCCCATCGATCTAACTTCTTGAGGGGGGGCCCCGCCCCAGACCCTTCTCGCGGAAGGACAGCCGAGCCGGCTATCCTCCAAGCGCCCACCCCCGACCCCTTCCCGCTCCTTGCCTGGACCCTACAAAGCCCCCAGCCGGGAGGCCGTGGAAGCACCGAAGGCCGGGAGGTCGAGGCTTCCGAAGGTGGCAGAGGTGGCAAGGCCTGGCCCCGTTTGGCCTGTTGCGGCTTGTTGCATGTACCAGACGACCCCCAAGGCGCGGGCCCCTCACTGCGGGACCCTCTTGGGAGGTGGAACCAGGCCAGTATCCGACAGAACCCAAGCGGGCACGCCTTCCCGTCAATCCCCTCACCTTTGGCCCTCAACCCTCCGGGCGTTTGGTCGTGGCGGACGCTGCCACGCGGTGGAAGTGTAATGAGGGCCAAAGGGGCCACGCCTTCGACGGTCTTCTTTCCTCGGAGGCCGTTCCCCAGATAGGGTCCAAGAGTCAAGACGCCGCTGGGGTACTTACATGCGGAGAGCGGCCAGGAGCCTTCCGGGGCCTTCGATCGCCCCCCAAGGCCCTCACCTGTCACCACTGCGGAAAAAAGGGCGCGCGGACGCCACCGCCGGTCCATCCACAGGGGGGAGCCTCCACCCCTGGAGCATATATATTAGTATTACCCCCACGCGCGTCGCGACGCACATAAGGGGCGACCCCGTGGCCGCTCTACAACACGGAAGTAGACCCGTCATCTGATCACCAGAAGCCCTGCCCTGCGACTGAATCTCTTGCGCGTGGCGCTTTGTTGCCTTGATTGCTCACGCAGCTGCAACGAACGAAGGAACACGCAAAGGGCCAGCGCGATGCCTCCGGCTTGCAGATGCGCGAGGCTAGTGGCCGCCACCTCGTGCCACCGACCAGACCGCGACTCCTACTCATCTAAAGACGTTCGCTCTCCCTTCGACTCTCTGTCGCACTCTCCTGAGAGTGCTGGCCCAGCTCAGTAATAGGCTTACACCATTGACACCCAAGCACCAGCGGAGGCCGTTGGCGTGAGTGCTTTCCTCGTCCACTTCCATCTCTTAATGTACGAGCATGGGCGATCAAAAGTGTGCTTCGCTATACCTGCCGTGCCCCGTGGAGGGCGCCAGCCAACAAAGTGGCAGACTGGCCATAAGCCGCATCGAGGTAGCTGACGGCTGGAGCAGCCTCGCGCAGTCAGTCATACGGGCCGCGGTACTCCAAAGCCATTCTTTCAGTGACCGCTGCAAGAGTGTAGACTGTAGAGCCGCTACAGCACGCCACATCCAAACCGCCATGGAAGGCGATTTAGTACAACTCAAGCACGCCATACAGCATAGGCATCCATCATGAATATAACTGCGCACAGGTTTCCTCTCGAAGAGGCGCAGCTGTTTACATTAGCGGCACCCAGCGCCTTGCCAGAAGCGAGCGCCACCCCAGCCAGGCCCCTACAGACGAAGGCACCACGACGGGCCGCGCCTCCTTGCTCTTGCTTGCTTAGGGGCTTCTTGCTCCCGTGACGACGAGAGAAAAGCAACAGAGACCAGCGACTCAGCCACGCACGGGCGGCCCTTTGTGACAGAGCAAGCACGCGGGAGCCCCCTGCGTTTGCGATCTATAGTCCAGCCGCCATCGGTGCGTAAGCTATCAAAAGGCCCTAAGATTGATAAAACACCGAACAAGGAAGACCACGGAGGCCAAGTTACAAACTACGGCGCAGGCGTGTACCCATTCCAGCTAAGTCACTGCTTTGCGGCGCTAAGTGCTCCACGACGCAACAAGGCCGGTGGCTGGGATTAACGCCCACGACCCGCCTGACGCTGTCCCGCGCACTTTTGGCCCCAGGCCCAGGCGTGCCTCGTCCCCATGTCTGAATCCCGATAAAGTCAAAGAGACAGACAGAGCGAGCCAACAACAGCACGAGCGAGAGGAAGAACCAAAGTGCAGAGAAAAGAGACGACAAGGCGGGGCCACGAGAATGAAAACAAAGAAAGGAGCAGGAGGAGAGCCGGCAAAGCCCAAGACGCCCGCCCCACAGATGTGCCAGAGCCGTTTGCTTGCATCCGCGGGCGCGAGGAGTCGAGGCGCCCGTCGACTTTACTTACATACTGAAAGGCTGAAACAAGCTGCCCACGCGGCAGAAGGGCCGCCAAGCTTCGAAGCGCACCACAGCACACCCAAACCGCCAAGCGAAGCATTTTAGTCCGGCACAACTTGCACGCCGTCCAGGAGCCTCAGCAACATAACTGCGCACGGGTTGCTCCTGGGGGTCCAACTGTTTGCGTTAGCGGTAGCCGGCACCTTGCTAGAAGCGAGCGCCGCCCCCTAAAAGCTCACTAAGGAACCAAGGCGGGCCGGGCTTGCTCTTGCTTGGTTCGGGACTTACTGCTCCAGCGATGACGAGGGAAAAGCAACAGAGACTGGCGATCCAATGACGCACGAGGGACCCCTTTCTTTGCGCAAGAGCAGGCGCGCGGTGGCCAGCTGTGCTTGCGATCTACAATCCAGCCGCCACCAATAGGCGTAAAAGAGTTACCGCTACAAAGATAAAACGCCGAACAATGCCACGCCGTCCACGCCACAAATTACAGCGCGAGCTGGTACCCGCTACCCATTCAGGCGGCGTCCGTAATAAATTAGCTGAAGCGACGTCGCCTCGCAGCTGGAAACAACAGCGGGCCCCTGCCTGTGCTCACCAAGAAGATTCTACTCGCGTAAGGCGCCGCTGCTTTGCGGCGCTCAGTGCTTGACGACGTGCGCCGAGATGTCTGGGGATGACGCTCACAACCCGCCCGCCGCTCTGCCGCGAGCTTTTGGCCCCAGGCTCGGGCCTGTCCCATGGCTGAATCCCAATAAAGCCAAAGGAGGAGCGAGAGCGAGCCAAGGGCAGCACAAGTGAGCAGCGTCGCGGCTCTCAAAGAGCAAGAGAGAGAGAAAGAACCATCCACGGAGCAAAGAAAAGAGACGGCAAGGCGGGGCAACGAGAAAACAAACAAGAAAAAGCCAGGGAGAGTCCGTCGGCAAGGCTCAGAACGCTCCCTCGCTGGTGTGTCGGGGCCGTTTGTTTGCATCCGAGAGGACGAGGAGCAGGGGCGACAGCTTTGGTTGCTGAAAGGCTGAAGCAACCAAGCTGCCCACACGGCAGAAAAGTCGCCGAGCTTCGAAGCACACGAGGAGGCAGCCAGCTGCGAGCGACCCCTCAGCCAAGGGCTGCCAGTGCCAGCTCACGGCGCTGAGGAATGAACGAAGAGGGACCGAAGGCCGGTCGAACAGCGTCAAAGGGAGCAGAGAGACCAAGCGCGACGGCGTGTCCACAGCAAGCCGAGGGCCGACAGGCACGTCGCGGCGGGCAGTCGTTCGCCTCTTCTCTTGTGTCTCGACTCGAATCCATCGCCCTCTTTTCTGTCTCAGAAACAAAAACCAAGAACGACAGCTCCTGCCATGAGGGAGCAAAGACGAAAAAACACCGGCCGACNCGAAGTCGTTCAAGTTGTGACCGAAGTCGTTCAGGTTCGTACTTTTTCCCTGTCGGGTTGTTTTGGGTCTTGAGCGGGAAAGTGTGAAAATCATGCAAGTAAAAATGGGCCAATATTTTATACCAGTAACACCATAGAAGTCAGGAAATTCATCGAGATGCATCAATTCATTTTTTCACGATTTTAAACAGCACCAAGAACAAGAAAAAGCAAACGAGTCCAATACTTTCCGAAAGAGTGCCGGGGCGTGATCATCAATTTTTTATTTGGATAGAAACACGAGCAGAAACCAGAAGCATGCAGATTTTTATTTTGAACATTAAAGCACCAGGGGCATGATCGTCATCATGATACTTTTGAGCTTCTAACCTTTACCATAGTAGTACCATCATCGGGAGACTTTTAAGATTGAAACTTTTTAGAACTTAAGACATTGAGAACGTGGAAGGATCGGATTGGAAGCGAGACAGGATTTAGATCGCAAGACTCTATTACGTGCCCCATGCCTGTCGAGCTTCCAACCACGACCACGACCCAAAATAACTACTACAACGACCATAGATAAAAATAAGATGCATACGAAGGCAAAAATAAACAACGAGAAGACGAGAGCGATCGATTTATAAATATGCAGGATAATGGTGCAAGTGTGTGAAGCTAAGGCATATCGAATAAAAGACGGAAGAACAGAGACAAAAGCAACTTGATGCATATAAATAGGACGAAAAATAAAGCGGATGCGTAACCTGATGCCCCTGGTGCTATAAAAAATGAACAAATTTCATATATCCCCAAAATCCAGGCCCTCCTGATCCTGATACTCTGGCGGAGTACTTTCCTCTTCTGCTGCTTCTTCCTCTTCTTCTCCTCCTTGCTCTCCTCCTTGCTCTCCTTGCGCGGCTGGTGGCTGTGGTGGCACTAGTGGTGGCACTAGTGGGCCCCTTCCTTTATTGCCCACCGGCTTCCCTTCGCCTTCCTTTCCTTTGCCTTTGTCACCTAGCTTACCCCTGTCGCCTTTGGCTGTTGCGTCCTTACCGCTGTCTCCTTTGGTTGCGTCCTTACCCTTGTCACCTTTGGCTTTGCTGTTGCTCTTGTCGCCTTTGCTGTTTTTCCTCTTGTCGTTCCCCTTCTTGACTCCCTTGGCGGTGCTGCTACTGCTGCTGGAGGCTGGTTCCTGGTAAGGGTGCCAGCGTCTGCTTCGACCATAGAACGGACTAGGCGACAAGATGGCCGCGGTCTTGTTGTCCTCACGAGGCAGATCGCGCCCGCCAGTTATCCGCAAGAGCATACGATGGAAGAACATCGCCCAGCCACCCTCTTTGTGGGCGAGGGCTCCACAATCCCAGAGCAACGTCTTCACGGCGCCAACAGCTTTGTCGATTTCGCGGCGGTAGTGGTCAGATGCTGAATTGATATGCACACCATGCCAGGCTGTCCACACGGTTTCAACCTGAGCGACGTGACAGGCAATAAGGAGACCATAGGCCTGCGCAAATTGAGTGTCCGTCGTCACAGCCCTGAGGCATCGGATTTGCTGAGAGGCGACGTCGTTAAAGATCTCCGTCTTTTTTTACTGTTGCCGACTCTGGAAGGGTTGGATACGGAGGACGCACCGCAGAGCAGACAGATCCTCTTTTTGCAATGGCAGTCATCGACTGCACCCATTCGGGCCCACTTCTGTGAGTTTGCGCCGGGGGAGCCAGGGAACTACTAGAAGCCGGCACTTTGTTGAATGTCGTTTTTTGTATATTTATCCTAAGTATATTTCAATATACGTGACGTGGTAGGATAATTAGTGGTAATAGTGTGCAAAATATCCGGCGGGAGAACACAAGTTTGAACACGTGTAGATAGTCAGATAAAGAACGCAGATTACTAGGGTAAAAGGGAGGAAATGACACACAGAAACCTGTTTAAGACTTTGGAGAGAGACGAGCTCACACAAGCACCAGTGGCACCATATGCGTGCGACGGAAATCTAAGAAGAAATATAACACAAAAGCCCAGCCGGCCATCCTGAAAGAACTCAAGATCCAGAAGATAGCGGCGCCGGTATGGGGATTCGCATTCACATTCTCCTGAAGATCATCAGAACCACCTAGAAACGCAAAGAAACTGACTACCAAGATCAGATAAGTACTTATGAACAACGACACGAAGAGAGACCTTCAGAAACTCAAGCTTGACAGATGCAGATATGAGACGAAATGAAGCGACGCCGCCAAACCTAGTAGGTACCGCCCACCTATATGGAGCCTAAAGCGTCCGAGTATAGGCTTCTGATCCAGTCTAGGAATCGGGCAACCGTCACGAGAGTGACTGAGATGAATGAACGATAGTAGGCCCTGCAGAGCATTGACATCAGGTAGCTCTACCAGTTACTTACACGCAAACAAGTCAAATCGATTTCAGAGATAGCGAGACACACTGTCAGAGATAATTGAACTGACTTTCAGAGATGCCTGAACTTACTTTCAGAGCAGTTCTAACCCCCTTTCACATTCCAGAAGTCATCAGCTAAGAGTGCGCCAGTGGCACAAGGAAGACCACGAGCTTCATCGGCGGTGGCAGCCCGGAGTAGTTCTTTAAGAAGCTGCGCACTGACCTCCGGACAACATCGCAGATTGTTCCATCGCGGATAAGCGATCTGCTGCCAGATTCCAGGCCAGACACTGACGCCAAGATATGCCCGAACAGGAACGAGAGCGAGGTCTTCGGCTTTGATGGCGCACCATGTACCGAAGTGACGCGAGGTCGGTATGCTGGGAAAACATCGAGAGACGTCTGAACTGCCGAACGCCTTGGCGCGCGGATCACGACGTAATCCGTGAAGTTCAGGTAGGAGAGAGGTAGGGACAGCAACATCAGTTAGCATCTGGTTTAATCGTTGGAACCCCACGACACCACGCCCGGAGTGAAGTCCAGATCGCGGCGCACGAAAACCGTTACTGAGGCACTTGATAACACCACCCCGCATAGCGTCGCAGCGTGGACATCTCGCGAGTAGATCATCTCAGTGAGAACCCTTTCAATTTCACTACTCGGAATAGCGCGAACTTTGCGACGCGGTAGCGGCCTTGTGAAGTCGATGAGATTGGTTCCGAATTCTGCGACGTTCAATCGCGGCAGTGCCTGTCCATCCATGAAATACTGCAGGAAAAAGACAACGCAAATCCCGTCGATGAACCGGCCAAGAACCTTCTGAACG